GGAAGGAAGGAAGGAAGGAAGGAAGGAAGGAAGGAAGGAAGGAAGGAAGGAAGGAAGGAAGGAGAAAAGAGGGAAGGAAGGGACTACTTGTTATCATAGTGACCTATCACCTGAATTGCTATCACCATTAGACATGCCCTAGATCTATGAAGTATTTATGGGTTTTTTTTTTCTGTATGTTTGTTTGTTTTTCTAGATGCTGGAGATTGAACCCAGGGATGCTTTACCACTGAGCTATACCCTGAGCCATTTATATTTTTTTTATTCTGAGACAAACTCACTTAGGTGGTTAGGACTTGCTAAATTGGGAAGGCTGGTTTCAAACTTGTGATCTTCCTGCCTCAGACTCCCAAGGCAGGGATTACAGGTGTATGCCACTAAAGCCAACATATTTATGGTTTTAAAATGTTTTCCAAATAGCATATTTCTTTAAAAGTATTTCATGCTCATCCTTTCCTTTCTCTATACATCCCTTCACCGCCATCTCCTTTGTTCCTTCCATCACTTCCTACTGGCTAGTTCTATACAATTTTGTGCCTCTACAACAAACAACTATTAGGCTTATTCCATGAAGGGCTATTCTGGTCACTTTTTAATGTTTACCACTTTGGAGTAAAAATGTATCAACGCTAGAGATACTTGAATACAATTACTCCTAATATCTTCAGCAATTCTAGTTTATAATCTAGTCATGTGTACCATGAAAAATGACCATAGACTTCTCCAAAAGAAGTCTCATTGCAAGGATGTAAGGTTCTGTCTGATGGGAAAAGGTATAAGAAGAATAAGAATATTATCTCTTCTTTCCAGAAATCTGAGTGAGCCCAATCACAAGACCAAAAAAGCAACCTAAAGGGCTAAAGAACAAACTTTAGCCTTTCTCCAACATAATAGCATCACATGTCATTAAACTGAATTGAGACTCTTCGAACAGTAATTGCAACCAAATTTGCTTTCCATAAAAGCAATCTCTTTCTACTTGCCATAGTACCTACTATTTTACCATCGGACTGTGTGGTGTTTATCTAGCTCATCAAATTTAGGACCCTATTTGCCAGAGAACTGGACAAACAGGAGACTGAAGAACTGGACTGTGTGCTGAGCTCATTTTTGTTGGCCTAAACCTGTCTGTCCTCTCCTTTGACAAGTGTGACAAGCAGCACTAGCCTATGCAGCCCCTGACCACTTGTGTTATGGATAGCCCAAACTGAAGCAGGCTGTAAGTCAAAACTATACACTAGATTTCAAATACTAACTAAATTTTTTTCCCCCAAGAGTTAAAGCTGCTCTTTTGGTTTTTGTTTGTTTGTTTTGTACTGGGGATTGAACTAGGGGCACTCTACCACTGAGCTACAACCCCAACCCTTATTAATCTTTAAAACAGGGTCTCACTAAATTGCGGGGGTTGACCTTGAACTTGGGGTCCTCCTGTTTTAGCCTCTAGTGTCGCTGGGATTATGGGTCTGCGTCACTGCAGCTTGCTTTATTGATAGCATGTTGTAATCTTACTTTGGATATATTGGGTTAAATAAATATATAATTTAATTGGTTTATTTTTTATAAGCACGTGGGAAATTCTTGATTTCTGTGTGAACCACATATTTCTATAAGCAAGCACTGGTTTACAGGATGACAAAAATAACCATACATTTGAATCGTGCCTTGTCTTTGGAGTGTTCTTTTATATCTATTAAGGGTTTCTCACAAAAACCATCCAATATGTTAAAAGCTATATCTCTGCTCTAGCAGTATCTAATCCTGGTCACTTCGCCTAGAATTTCAGTTTATACAAACGGGCAAACCTTGTAATGCATTTAAGGGAAGAGGACCCTGAGAACGTGCTGCGGAGTTTGCCTCAAAGAAGTCCCTTGGGGGTAGGGAGCGGCAGGAAGGAGAAGACTGCAGACCGGGTACCCGAGGACTCGCGGCGGAGGCCTCCGGCACCCCGCGGCGGCCTCAGCACCCCGCGGCTGGGGGACCCAGCTCCCCTCCAGGTTTCCCCCGCCAGGCCCGCAAGCGACCTCCCCAAGATGGCCACTGCGGGGGGGCGGGCCGTCCGCCGCGTACCCTCCCCGCGCTGCCGCGTGTCGATTGGGTAAGACGACTTGGTGGAGAACTGTGATTGGGTCTCAGGGCGGGAGCTGGGCGGGACCGGAAGGTGGTCCCAGCCCCTGGGTTCCGAGGGTCTGGGGCTCTGCGTCTGTCCCCGGGGAATGTGGAGAGCTGGCAGCATGTCCGCAGAGCTGGGAGTCGGGTTCGCCTTGCGGACAGTGAACGAGCGCGTGCAGCAGGCTGTGGCGAGGCGGCCGAGGGTGAGGAAAGGGCATGTGGGGGAACGATGGGCGGCCTCTGAGGAGGGGGACACCTGCGTGGGACTAGGTCGTCACGGTGACGCACAAGTGTCTCCCCGAGGGGCGGGACCCGCAGGCGAAGCGTGAGCGAGGAACTGCGGAGCCCCAGAAAGGCTAGCGAAGGATCTCCTCCGTGACCTCGAGTTGTGTCTGTTAGGTTCCCCAGAGGTTGGCTTTCTCGGTTCAAAAATGACCCACCACATAGTAAAAATGACTGGTCTCCAGATGTCGGGGCCATTTTCCATTGCTTGGTGTAGGGGTCTTGTAAGACACAGGCTGCATGAGAAGTGTGTGATTCCACAGCATGCAAAGGAGCCTCATCACCCGAGATCACGTGTGTGGCAGTGTCTGACAGCTAGTAGGTAGGTGCTCAGTGAATGTCGTTTCCTCCCCTGGCTAACTAACGTGGTGGTGGATTGGCCCGACTTTGCAGGCACCAGAACTGCATTTGTGAGTCTGGAGCTGGAGGAAGCCATCCCAAGCGGTTTAAAAGGAGTATGTTGTTGGGGTTTTTTTGTTTGTTTGTTTTTTGTTTTTTCTACCATATATATTTTGTTGCCTCTGAGGGCTTCCAGGATCATCAGTACCTGCTCATCTCTGGGCAAGATAGCTGAATAGTATCAATGATCTGAACCCAAAGGATAAAGGCCTCTCTGATAAAGTGTTTATGGTTTCAAAACTCGGAATGCTGGCAAGAAGACAGAAGACCTGTATTCCAGTCTTTCCTTAACTACTAATTAGATGCTACCGTGAACAAATCATTTAACTACTCTGGCGCTCTGTTTCCTCTTCTGAACAGCAATAGAATGAACTCTGAAAGCTCTAAGCTTCTTCCTGGAATTAATATTTTATGATTATCAATGATTCTCCAAGAAAAAAAAAAATCTAGGTTTTCCCCTAATAAACATCACTTTGGGAGGTTATCCCAGGGTCTCTGGCAGGTAGATGGGCTGCCTATTCCACTTTTCCCTCTGAAAACCATTTATTCATCAGCATGATCCTAGGAATTTTGTCTCCTACAAAACTGATGGTCTTCCTAAGAAAGAAGAAAAATGAGACTTTTTACACTCAACAGGACTCCTACATGTCTTTGAGAATACTGTGATTCTATGAAAATCCCAGGTTGAGTGAGGGACTTGAAGACTGACCTATATGGATTAATCAGTCTCTGATTGCTTCTGTGTGGATTCGTTGCAGCAGAATATACAGGGAAGCAGTGCTCTTTATGTAATTGGTATAGGAAGAGGTCAGATAGGTCTACACCTGAGTCCAGAATTGTTTGTGTTCCAGTCTCAGTTCTGCCACTGGGTGGCAGAGTCTTAGATTGAACAATAAATTACATATCATCATCCATTCAGGCATGTTCACAGGTGGTTTGGACATAGACCTAATCAGACCACTTTTAGAATAAATGGGGCAATATTAATAATTAGACCAGGCCGAGGATGTGGGAAAAAAAGGTACACTCCTACATTGTTGGTAAAAATGTAAATTAACACAACCATTTTGGAAAGCAGTACGGAGATTCCTCAAAAAACTAGGAATAGCACCACCATGTGATGATCCAGCTATCCCACTCTTTGTTATTTTTCTCAAAGAACTAAAATCAGCATACTCTAATGATATGGTCACATAAATGTTTTTATCAATGCAGTTCACAATAATCAAGTTATAGAACCAGCCCAGGCATCCATCAACAGATGAATGGATATAGAAAATATAGCATGTATACACAATAGAGTTTTACCCAGCTGTAAAGAAGAATGAAATTATGGCATTTGCTGGTAAAGGAATGGAACTAGAGAACATCATGCTAAGTGAAATAAGCCAGACTCAGAAAGTCAAGGATCAAATGTTTTCTCTCATATGCAGAAGCTAGAGCAAAATAAGGGAAAGGAGGGCAGGCAGATACCATAAAAACAGCAGACAGTATAGTAAAGGAAGGGTATTGAGAGGGAGGAAGAGGGACAGGAAAAGGGAAGAACTACAGAATGCAATTGACAAAATTATGCTGTGTACATAACTGAATGTACTATAGTGAATTCTATCTCTGTATATCTATAAAGCACCATTCTGTAGTTCTTCCCTTTTCCTGTCCCTCTTCCTCCCTCTCAATACCTATTTATTAATAGGTATCCCAGTGAGCAGCAGGGAGACTGAGTCCAGGCATGTTGGAGCCAGTTTTACTTCCCCAGCTTGCAGCAAATAAATCACTCTTTTCTTTTCAAAAAAAAAAAATAAATAGGTTGGACACAGTGGCCCATGCCTGTAATCCCAGCAACTTGGGTGGCTGAGACAGGAGGATCATAAGTTCAGTGCCAGCCTCAGCAAATTAGTGAAGCCCTAAGCACCTTAGAACAGTCCTGTCTCCAAATAAAAATTTTTTTAAAAAAAGTTTTTTTAAAGGGTTGAGGGTGTGGCTAAGTAGTAAAACACCTCTGGGTTCAATCCCCAATACCTAAGTAAATAAATAAAAGGAAGAAGAAAGACCAGTAGAAGAGAGGAAGGGGAGGAAAAGGAAGGGAGAAGATTAGGGGAAGAGGAATCACTGGGGACTGAAATAGAAAAAATTATATTCCATGTACGTATGATTATGTCAAAATCAATCCCACTTGTATGTATAACTAAAATGCACTAATAAAGACATTTTTTAAAAACACCAAAAACCTAGAAGTTAATCTGGAACCTTAGAATGGTTCTTATGCATAATCATCTGATTTCACCTACCATGAAAGAACCACAAGCTTAAAGCTTAAAAAGACCACCATATCCTTATACAAAAAGTACTCCCTAGTCGGGAGTAGTGGTGCATGCCTGCATCCCAGTTCCTCCTGAGGCTGAGGTAAAAGGATCACAAGTTAAAGGCCAGCCCCAGCAAATTAGTGAGACCCTGTCTCAAAATAAAATAAAAACAAAAAGGGCTGGAGATGTAGCTCAGTGGTAGAACATCCCTGGGTTCAATCCCCAGTACTTGGCAGGGGGCGGGGGAGTATTTCTACAAAGACATCTACCCAAAAGCTATGTGTTCAACCTCAGAATGACACCATTCTTGTTATTAATCATGGTGACAAAAGATAATTGTTTCAAAATATCTGATGTAATCTTCATTTTTGTCTCTTAAAACTTCCCTTTAGCCAGACTCAATGGTGCATACCTATAGTCCCAGGGACTTGGGAGGCCGAGATAGGAGGATCACAAGTTCAAAGCCAGCCTCAACAACTTAATGAGGCCTTCAGCAATTTATTGAGAACTTGTCTCAAAATGAAAAATAAAAATGGGCTTTGGATGTACCTCAGTGGTAAAACCCCCTTAGGTTAAATCTCTAGTACCCACTCTCCCAAAAGAAACACTTTCCTTTGCCTCGACCTCCTTGAATACACCCATAGTTTACTGTAAGGCACTCATATTACCCTTGTAGTGCTCTGCTGTTCCCCAATAAATATTATTGTTCTTTGAAGAAAAAATAAAGTAATTTTACCAGGGCTAGAGTAAGTTTCCAAAACTGTGTCCCCTCTCTAATTGTGGAGAAAACGACTAACATTTTTCCTGCCTCAGGTTAAGCTATCATGCCCACAAGTATGAGGAAATTCCAGACCTGGAAACCCAAGCAATGGCTCTCTCAGGGACACAAGTTGGACTTATTATATTTACTGATCATAATGCTTGCAGCACAGTCCATGTATTCCCCTTTTAAAAACCCTCTGTTCTCCTGGCAGTTAGAATTGCATACAGCCTTTAACAGCTTAGTCTGCTGCTTTTCTCGTGTGCTAGCAAATTGGGAAAACTTTATCCTTTTTCTCAAAACCTTGTCCCCTGTTATTGGAATGTCACCATGGACAAGGACCAAGCCTCCCTTTAGTGAAATGACTTTTTGGGTTTTTTTGTTGTTTCTTTCCTTTTTGCAGTGGTGGAAACCCAGTGCCAGGAAGTGCTGTACCACTGACTACACTCCCGACCCCAGGAAGTGATTCTTAAGTCTCCATGAAACTTCCTTTAGCCAGACTCAGTGGTCTCCAACATTGGTGTACATGAGAATCACTGGAGAGCTTGTTGGAAAGGAGATTCTTTCTAGACATGGTGGGCATGCCTGTAATCCCAGAAGCTCAGAAGGCTAAGGCAAGAAGATCGCGGGTTCAAAGCCAGCCTCAGCAATTGGCAAGGCACTAAGCAATTTAGCAAAACCCTGTCTCAAAAGAAAAGGGCTGGGGTTGTGGCTCAGTGGTTAAGGGCCCTTGAGTTCAATCCCTGGTACCAAAAAAAAAAAGATTCTGAGGGTCGGGGGTATAGCCAGTGGCAGAGTACTTGTCTGACATGGAGAAGGTGCTACGTTTGATCCGTGACACCATAAAAACAAAACCAAAGGGAGATTCTCAGAACCCAGCCCCAGAGATTCAAATTCAGTAGATCTCAGTGGGATCCTGGTGATACTAATGCAGTTGATCAAAGACTGCACTTTAAGGAAATATTGCTTTAACTTGTCTAGCTCCCCTGAGAGAGAAATACCTTTTGCTAGTTATTAAAGTAGTTAACACTAAGTTGAG